TCTTAGGATGCTATCACATGGGTAGAAGCAAGGGTCATAATTCTTAGGATGCTATCACATGGTTAGAAGCAAGGGTCATAATTCTTAGGATGCTATCACATGGTTAGAAGCAAGGGTCATAATTCTTAGGGTGCTTTCACATGGTTGGGAGCAAGGGTCATAATTCTTAGGGTGCTTTCACATGGTTACTAGCAAGAATAGACCCTGAACAGCCACTATGATTCATGCAACATGAACAAGATTCCCTGTATTAATTATACTTCCATATAAATGAAGAGAACACATCAACACTACACTTAATCAATCACATGTTTGCAATAATGAAAATATCCTAATAATTTCAGAATGAAAAGTATAAATTTGTCTGTGTGAACCCAGCCAAGTTTAGTAAGAAGTAACATATAAGTAAAATTACAAACATGAATAACAATGTCATGATACATTCATAAGGTCATTTTCCTTTAGAATCAGTAACCCTATAAGTATTGCTACAAATACTACTTAATTATTTGTCAAAATAAATATACCTCAAAAAATTTTTCCATCCTAATAAAATGTATATATTAACCTTTTAAAGCTTTTCAAATAGTTTTGAACAATTAGATAAAAACGTTACAATTATATTAAGGATAATGTGATAATACCACCCAGATAGATATATCAGTCTAAAATCAGACAGGGAATCCTTTAGTTTAATACAAAATAAAGAGATTGTAACAAACAAACTTAAAAAAACAAGCAGAACTGCACTTAAACATCTAGTACGACTATTGATAATAAGATATTTATTATCTTCAGATCTTTTTTTTTAAAGTATTTGTAAAATACAAATAAAAAATTAAACTTAGAAAATATGTAAATTGGCAGCAGAGGTCTATACAAATGAAACAGAATTACTGCATTTATAAATTCTTCATGAACAAGGAATTTATGCTAAATACAAATGGTATACATTTAGACATTTAAATCACAATTGAGAAAAATAAACAAGAGCATCTCTTTTTAACAAATTCACAACTTAATATTATTCATATTCAGCAAACATCCATAATAGAGCAAATTGAAAGTAATATCATTTAGAGCATAATGCTGCACTGATCCATAGGTTTAAAATGTTTATAAAGACCTACTTTGCTTTGATATTAACATGCTATAGCACTTCCTTTGTATAACAGTGTTTTTAATGCTCAGTGTATTCAAGAAACTTTTGTTTGGTCCTTTGGCATAACATGTCTACCACGTAATATTTATGTAATATTTGGAACAATTCTATAGTCATAGCCTATTTATTTTTAAAAAAGGGGAGATAAGCTGCACATAAACAACTATACAAGGGGAGTTAATCAGTGATTTCTTTTTTTTTCTTTCTTTTGAGTCAAGATTTAAGTTGGCAATACTTTGAACACTGAATCAAACATAGAGCTAAGTTTGTTATTGTTATAATGAATGGGGGTGTTTGATTCTGTAGATAACATTCAAAACAGTCCTCATTCAAGTTGTAAATTTCAAGTTTTTACTTTACATTAGGCTTAAACAATTGTTTACTTATACCTTAACTATATCTAATCAAAAATAAATTTAAAATATTTTAGATAAAAATTCCAAATAATCAATCCTTCATGTTTCAAATTTTAAAACTTAAATATCTTAAGGTTTATATACATGAAAATAAAAAGGAAAACTTTGGACCTATTTTGTAACAATGCAGACAATGCTAAGCTTAAACATAAAAATATCTTTCATTTTTTTAAGAATTTTTTTGTAAGTTCGGCTTTGGCAAACAAAAGATTTTTTTAAATTCTGTTTCTAACTGAAATACTAGTTAAAACAATTATAGTACACACCCTAGTACTTAAACAAAAGAACAAGATTGAATTCACTCTTAAATACAATACTAAATAAAAAAACAACCCTATCACATGTATACAGATTACCTAATACAGATAACTATAAGCCTATTACATACCTACATATCTGTACAAAGTGATTCCTTTGATACTGACAACTTCAAAGGAGTACATATTACTGTAAATCTTATATCATTAAGTCATGCATTCAAAAATTTATCTGCAATAGGAATGGACTTATCTTTTTTTTGGGGGGTTAAAATATAATCCAAGAATTGTGACATTTCTAACTTATTAGGTCTATAGTGAACTGAATAAGAGGGAAACATTTCTTTACCTTCATTTATTTACAAACACAAGAAATAAATACCGGTAATGAAAATTTCTATTGTGCACATATTGGTACTACGGTTATAACTTTAACCAGTGGTATGATGAAAATTTCTGCACAAAAGATTTAAAAAATATAAATGCATCAAGATTCTGAAACTCAGTTTCCAATTAATGCTTCTTTAAAAAATATTTTATGCAATATACAGCCAAATATTGATTTATTTTTTTTAATTTTTTTTTAATACTTTATAGCTTGTGTTTTGAAATTGGAAAACATTACATTTTCTCATTCATAAATTTCTAATAAATTAATATATATGTACATACCTTTTACAATAGCTGTTCACCCAAAAAGATAAATTGTTTTATTACTGGGTAGTCTACAGGATTTATACCTTAATATACTTATCAAGGTATAATTATGTTACGGATCATTACAACTTTGATCGCAGGTGGGCATTTACAGCTAGTCATACTGATTTGAAAACATATAATGGACATTTACAACTGGTTCACAATAACTGAGAATATTATATAAATTTGCATTCAAAAAGTTTTGGTCAATTCAGATGGTAGATTTTTTTTTCTCACTCAATGAGTTACCATGATAGAAATTGTAAATATGGGATTTTATAAATCTAGAAATTGTGTCACTGACTACTGTGGCTATTCACATCATGCACAAGGCAATTTATTCATTTTTATTTTAGGTTTACATCTGGAGTCAGAATAATGTGTTCAGCTAAGGGGGCATGTCTTTGCTGACTAATACATTTGTTCTTTGTGAAGTAGTACATTTAAACCTCAGCTCAGTGTGTGGGTCTGGTACAAATCAGGATTCATATTCAAATCACATTAACATGCTCTCGTCCTGAATATGTATTTTATTTGTGCTGGACATACATTCATTCATATCATTACTTATCTTCACAAATAAGGAACAGTTCTATTAAATATACCTCTGAGAGTATTATCATCATATTAATTATGGTTACTTCAAAATGATAGCTTTCTAATTTTTAGGAGGGTTGTCTTTCATATAAATATAAAATCGTTTTATAATTAAGCATGAAAAATGCAAGATATTCAGTGACATTAATCGAAACAATAGTGTTAATATAAATAAATAAACTGTTGACACAGAAATATGTCTCGCCTTTTTGTTATTTTGATAGTAAAATGCAAATGTTGAAATTAAAATAGCAATACTTCAACATGTACGTTATGCAAAATATTCAAAGTCAATGAACCATGACTGAAGATACAAGGCAAACAATCTCCATGGAAATTTGATGTGCCAATGCTGATACAACAGGATACCAAATATCATTGACCTACCACTAGTGGTTCCCCATAAACTGACCTAATCACATAGTAATACATATAAATTAAGCAAAAGTTTCAAAGTCACTAGACCATGACTGAGGGGGCAGGGCCAAATACTATCCATGGAAATGAGATGTGCCAGTGCTAATACAAATGCACACGAAACATCATTGAATTACCACTAGTTGTTCCCCATAAACTGACCTAATCACAAACTAATACATTGTTGACAATGCTGCCGCCAACACCATAAGCAGCATACCCATGTCTCTCTTTTCGACTCAGTCAAGGCGAGACTAAACCATCCAATAAAAATTCAACTGAACTTCTGTAGCATATCCTGATAACTGATTTCATTCAAAATGCAGGGATATATATACAAGATAAGGTCAATGTCAGAAAAATATCAACTATTTTTGTTTGAGGCTTAGAAACTGGGGAAGGGCAAGGTTTACCCCCAAATTGTGAAGAAAAGTAACATGATATGAAATCGACTTTGCACGAAATACCACTTTATGACTATATTTGGTAGATAAAGACAACAATAGCTACAGTATAAAAAGATAAATACATGCATCAAATCTGAAATCACTGACATTTTGCACAATTTACAAGATCTAGATAAATAACATACTTCCATTTAATGGACAAAAAGACCCTGAACTAAGATACCATCAAACTATTTTAAAGAATAATCATTAAGGTCTTCAGTTTTTTTTTTCCCTCTATTCCGCATCTCAAATAAACATGTGATAGTTCAAAACCATGATTTTGCATAAACTAATTATCATGATTATTATCTTAATTCTGTGAATAAAATTGTTTTTTTAATTTTAGCCATAGAAATCTCCTCTGTTTACTAAAAACAAGACTATTCAAATAGAACAAATCTAACTACATAGCAGAAAACTGATGCTCTTAAATATTATTTATATTTTGGCATTAATCATCATTAAGTTTCTCAAATGATGTGCCAACAGGCAAGTAGCAAGGACTAAGTAAGTTTCTTAAAACTTTTTAAAGCCATTAACTCCGATTTGAATAACATACATGTATATAAAACTCAATTAAGGATATGATCTGCTAATACAGGATTATTGGATTTACTTGGCTTGACACACATTTACAGAAAAAAACAAGGTTGGATTCTTATACTATGCTACAGTCTTTATGTGCCTGTCCCAATTCAGGAGCCAGTAGTTCAGTGGTTGTCGTTGGTTCATGTCTGTCATATTTGTTTTTTGTAAATTGTTTTGTTTTAAATTAGGCCGTTAGTTTTCTCAATTCAATAGTTTCATATTTTTCGTGTCAGAGCCTTTTATAGCCAACTATATGGTATGGGTTTTTCTCATTGTTGAAGGCTGTACGCTTGCCTATAATTGCACACATCCATTTCATTTGAACTTTGGTGGATAGTTGTCTCATTGGCAATCATACCACATCTCCTTAATTTTTATAATACTATCTGGTTATATTTCTTTTCACTGCTCTTACCTTTTTGAATGTTTTGATGAGTTCTAGGGCTGGGTCTAGGAAGGTATCACAGAAATACAACATATAACCACTGTATTTGGTATTCAGCTGTACCACAGCCTCTCTTACAGCTTCATCTGTACATTCTCCATATACAGCTCTCAGTTTACTGTAAAGGTACTCTGTATTATCCAAACACCTTTGTGTGGCATTAACTCTGTATGGAACCCCTTTCTGTTCTGAGTTATCACCCTTAGTTTCAGCATCCATGGAAACAGATGCAGAGGATTGTTGAAACCTTTTAAATGTTTTGTCAGCATTTCTATGACAGGATCCATCGGAGATCATATCTGTCCTGGTTGGTCTGTTTTCTGTATCCCCTGTATTAAACTGAAAGTATAAAAAATTTTTTTACTCATGAATAACTTTCCAAACAACAATGATTAAAGAAAAACATTTTCATTAGTTCTAGTCTAGATGAATTCTCAATACATACCAAGCTGACACTGGATTTATTCGTTGCATCTAACTTTATCAACTGGATTTCTGTGTAAGAGCTAAATCATAATAATTTTCATAATTTTTGCAACTAATACATGTCACAATATTATTTACATGTACATGATGTATATAAATATAGTGGTCATGTGTCAAAATTTGTCTGCAAAACGTTGTACATGAAAATGCAACTATCAATCTGAGAGATAACACCAAGGAGAAAGGTTGATACATAGAGATTCAGCCATTCAGCTGACTATGGACTGCTGTGAATTTTGTAGTAACCACTATCAGATGATCCATTATCTATCATGAAAGCTAAACAATGCTAATAATATTTTTTTTTTTTATAAATCGAGATAATAGAATATTGATGCATTTAGCCTGAACATTGAGTAAAGTAATCTGAACTTAAAACTTTTATGTTTGTGATAATTGATTTCTTTTATATCATCTTTAAAAGAACTATATCTTTGCAAGTAACACAAAAATATATAGAAACAGTAAACAAAACAAACCTCAAAAATATAGGACAAATATATATTCAATTGAAATATAATTGATCACAAATTAATTACTCACCACCAGATATTTCTGATCATTAATTTTCATTTTCTATCCAATTGCCAAACTCTACATCATGATTGTGGTAAAAACAATGGTTTTATAACATGTATAAATATTTTTTTTACAAATTTACATCTGTTGGTTTGTATTAATAAAACTCTTAAGTTTCAGACATTTCAGACTCTGAGTACATATGAGGATAAAATTTGTCAAATAAATGTACGTTAACACACCCTGTTTGGTGAAATAAATCTTCTGCGTGAAATCAAATATTGCTTGGTCTTCACAGAATTTTTTTTAAATTTCAGATGTTGAATAGTTCTAAATATATCCATTGTTCAAATGTGTCATTCTTAGGTCAGTTGGAGAAATCAAAGTCAAAGGTTATATTTAGTTCCTTATTAGTACAACAGCTCTACTGGGTATCTTGGTTGAACCTTTTTTTTTAAATCTGAAAGTGGTAGACCTGAATAATAGATACACAGCAATGTTACAAACTTTTGAAAAAGAAATTATCTGTAAATTTCATTACCTCTAGAGCATGTGGAGAGTCATTTACATTTGCTTTTGCACTATATTTTGGTTGTTTATCTCTCTCAATGAATCTTGAACTCCATTGTTTGCTATGTGAAAGAGACTGTCTCTCAGTCTTAACTTTCACACCCCTGACAGGTCGTAGAATTACTAAATGGAGATTTCTATATATCTGGTGACTAGGTGGACATGGTTTGGTATTTTCCTTAGCTGGAATGTCCTTTTCACTTGCTCCAACTCCTAAATTTGTTTCACTTCCAGAAATCATTTCTCTGGCGAATGTGTCACTTTCTTGTGAATCTTCTTCAACACAACTGCCAACTGGAGTTCTTGCATTGCTTTCATTCAACTCAGTTCTGTTTTCTGACCAATATGGTTTTCCAACAGAATCATTAAAATCAGTAGTTGGGTGTTTGGAATCTTTTTCAACAGACTTTTTTTCTAAATCAGTGGTACATTCCTGAAGGGAATCTTTTCCCTCAGGAACAGCCAAATCAGTTGTACATTCTTGCCTGGAATCCCTTTCTTTAGAATTTTCAAAATCAGTTGTACACTCCTGCCGGAAATCCCTTTCCTCAGAATTTTCAAAATCAGTTGTATATTCCCGCTGGAAATAATTTTCCTTCAAATCATCAAAATCAGTTGTACGTTCCTGCAAGGTTTCTTTTGCCATAAAATTTTCCAAATGCGATGTACATTCCCTCTGTAAATCTGTCTCAACAGAACTTTCAAAATCAGTTTTATTTTCTTTCAATAGTTCATGTTTCACAGAATCATCAAGATAAGTTTTATTTGCTTCCTTGATCTGTCTTTTACATAATGGATCATTTGAATTTGTTTGACTTTCATGATAATGATGATTTGTATACTCTGTTTGATTAGAACACTTGACAGAGTTTGCATTAAGATGAATATTACATCCATCATTACAGTTATTTTTATCTTGCCATGAAGATTCAGATGGTTGATTCAGAGGCAATAAACCTTCAGATTCATGACTGTATCTATCTATATGATAATCTTCTTTATGATGTTGTGTTTCACATCTTAGATCTAAGTGACTAGGAACATTGTCCTGATAATCTGAATCATAGTCTTTTGCTAAGCTTGCCTGGACATCTTTATACTTCTGTAGCCATTCATCCTCCAGGCTTCTGCTGCCATCAATATCCAAGTTCACATTAGGTCCATCTAAACTTTCGAAGTCACTGTTTTCATCACTGCTGTATTCAAGACCCTATGAAAATATTAAAAATACATTACAAGTGAAAATCTCATTTAGTAAGAATAAATTATCTTTAAGAGTTTTATAAGCAGAATGTTCTGTACATGCACCTGAATGACCATAAAGATGACTGCCCATTTGCAATCTCCCTGCTGAAAAGAGAAGGAACATGAAAAAGCTATATTTTGGCCCTTTCAATTTGAAATTCAAACATTTGTCAATAAGGATTTTAAAAGTATTTCAGTCTTTTTAATAAAATCCTTCAAATGTTCATCATAAAATACGACTGTCAATTATCAGTATGTATATGTTTGAATTTTTTTTTTTTTTAATATTTCAAATGTTATTTTACAAAAACTCCCATAATAGTCTCATTGTGAGATCTTGTAATTAATTTTTAGATATGAGCCACAGCCCTACCCTCAAAGCTGTTTCACTACAAGATGTCTTATACAAAGATATTAATGTGTGTAAAACATCTGTTTGCATTAGTCTTAGGGCTTATATCTTAATTTTGCCAAAAACTGCATATATGAGTAAAATGGCAATTTTTTGGTCAAATATGTCAATTTCTACATGTATGTGTTCTCCCCACAAATTTTGTATAGCTTCCTTGTGAACAAGGAATTTTGAAATAACATCTTGTTTCTAGAAATTATAGTATCACATCCATAACACAATCTGTAAGAAAATCAAATTTCAGATAGCATCAAGTTCAAGCAATATAGCAGCACATTACAAAGATGCTAAAAGGTCCTCGGGAGAACAAAGAAATCTCTTCACATACTTCTCCAGATTATATATTCTTGTTTCAATACAATTAACATAATTTGGAACGGATTGAAGAACTTTATTATTGTTGCAATTACAGGTGACTGATATTGACTCTCTTATACTTCTGACTTAAGAACACGGTCATAGTTCCTAACATGTAAAGGTACACTGTTGGGTCATGAACACACATACATTAGGAATCAAATGTAGAGCGACTATTTTTGTAAATATTTTGAAGAATTTCTGTTTATTTTCATTGCACACAGGTCAAATCAATTCAATTGAAACTTAAATAACCTGAATACAGTTTGTTTAGGTCTACTAAATACATGTTCAAATGTATTACGATACAAAATCTACAAACTTTCATGATCCATTTGGTAAATTAATGTTTTCAACATTTCTTGGTATAAATGGGAATGTTGGGTCCCACTACATAGGGTCATGCTGGCTGTAAGGTGATGACACAGAAGATGCTTTAGTTGGGTGTGACACCCTGTTTGGGGTCAGTTAGCAAGTATTTACTGCACCTACAAAACTAAAATATATAATATAGGTTTAATGTAGAAATCTACAAAAATTAGGAAACAATCCCTACTGGATCCCTCCACAATGAAGTGAACCATTTATATGAGAAAATATTTTATTATGAACCCAGTGATGTAAAGAACAGGTATTTTCATATCAAGGAAATTTTAAAACATGTTTTTCTTAATGCAAAGGGAAATAACTGGGGTTTTCACATAAAACTTAAAATTAATTTTTTCAATTGCCAAACATTGGTCAAATTTACAATAATAGACCCCTTCATACCAAACCGAGAATGCTCCATTTCAGGTATATCGATGACTTGTAATTATGATAGTACATTTATATGTTTACTTAAATTAGAAGTCTGGAATTATCAAAGTAGTTAATATAAATCAAACCTTCAGTTTCTGGTTTGAATTGTTTAAAAATTTACAATAGTCATTTCGGGGCCTTTTATAGCTTGCTGTATGGGTTTTTCTCATTGGTGAAGGCCGTATGGTGACCTGTAGATGCTAAATTTTACGCCATTTGTTCTCTGGTGGAGAGTTGTCTCATTGGCAATCATACCACTTCTCCTTATTTTTATAGATACATTTTGTATTAGGGTGTTACTGACAGATTGTACAATGGTGCAGTGAATGGTCTTTTTGACAAAAAAAAATTTACACTGAAAGGATGAAATTTCTACTAGATTGTTTACGGTCGACTTTGAACAAGGTGTTATTTCAAACTAGAATGCTTTTTAATTTTTTTTACTGAATATAACACTGAAATTTCATTCAAATATTTGTAAATTGTATAAAACATCATCAAGGATATGGAAATACCATGCCGAACTTGTCCGGGGTGTCTCAAAATCTCCCAGACAAGCAAATACATTCCAACTACTTGTCATGGACAAGTAATTTCTGTAATAGCACAACCAGAATGGACAAGTCAAATTGACACATTTTGAATGTATTATACATGGAAAAAGCATTATTTTGTGAATAGAAAGAAAACTAAATGCCAGAATTTCAAAATAAAAAATTAACAAAAAGCTCTCATAAAATGCTATCAAAAAAATTTAAGTAAAATATGTGGTCACCTTACATTTGTTCTATGTATTTATCATGTTTATAGAAAAAAAATTCTATACAATTCAATATAAAATAAATTTTCATCTGGTTTTATCTGACCTTTCATATTTGTGAAGTATTGCAAGAAAAGATATATTGGTTTGAATAGGTGCTCCCAAAAATATTTGGTTTTCCAATGTTTCAAATATGTTGAGATGAAATAAAATCAGTCTATAAATATATATTTCCATTAAAGGTGTGAAGGAGTACACATTTCTGAGTACTTTTGGTACGCTCAAACGATTTCTTTTAAAAGGGTTTAAGCACCCAATAAAAACTCACCTAGAGAAAAATAATTATTAATAAAATGTTGAATACTACCAAAAATGTTTGTGACAACTTCAACACATTTGTAAAGGTACTATTTTTAAGATTGATTGATTGATTGATTGATAACAGTGTTAACATCTCATGATCTTTTTTATTATTTATTTATTTATTTTGGGAAGGTTCATCATAACAATCATACTGTAACAAATGGACAAAAATTGTTGTGTTTCCACCTTGAAAATAGATAACTTCCACATTCAAATGTTTCATGCATTTTCCCATACATTTTGGATGTCATAATGATTATGCAATTACACCACAGTAGGAGTTGATTCTTGGATGGTTAATAGACCCATGGAAGTATTATATTGACAATATAATACTTCCATGATAGACCTTACTCTTTTATAAAAAAAAACTTGAAATTTGGTACATTATTCTGAGAATCTATAGACAAACCTGTACAGTCGAAAATGTTTTAAGGCTTGGTGATACCTTAGTATATATATATATATAAGAGTTAAATGAGGGTGGTAAAGGGTTATTTTCTTGCAATGTGTTTTGCCATTTTTATTTCACGTGCAGCCGTGAAAAAGGTTCGTTATTCACCGTGTTTCGTGAAAACGGTAAAAAGATCAACGTGCAAGAAATTTTAAATTGTTCGATCATCCTGAAATGGCAATTTTATTTCACGTTCTTCCGTGCAGATACCCCCCTTTTACGCATCTCTTAAATGCGTTTGGTATTTCAGAAACTGTAAACTATTTTGAGGGATTTTGAGATTTTTTTCAATAATGCAGAAGGTAAAATAAACACAAACCAGATTTTATTTTATACTGTCCACTGACAGTTTAAATCATAAAATTGAGAATGAAAATGGGGAATGTGTCAAAGAGACAACAACCCGACCGGACCAAAAGAGCAGAAAACAGGCGAAGGCCACCATTGGGTCTTCAACACAGCGAGAAAATGTATTTATTTATGTATGATTCATTGTAATTAATCTGCTCCCTGTGAGCGTTGTGATTAGCACTGTTAGTTTCTGTATAATTACATTTGTTGTGTGGAGAGCCCAAGAGGGGCAGTCATGCAGGTGATTTCAAAGATTTTATACCCATAAAAATTTAAAATCTAGGATGTCATATTACTAGTACGCGTACTATTGAATTTAACGAAAGATGGTAAAGTCTTGAATTCTGAGCAATATATTTAGTGGCCTTGCAGTAATTCTCAAACAGATTGGTCTTTGACAGAGGACATGTCATACATATTTCTGCAGTTTTCCATCTAGAAAAGTCCCGCCAAAAGTTATCTCCCCATCTTTCTAACAAGAAAATATTGTTGATGGATAAGTTTCAAAATCCGTGTCACAAAACGTGCGGGTTTATGAAGGTTTTGTCTTTACTCTTTCATGACTTTGAAACGTTATTTAAAGCTACACCGGGCTGTGACTTTTGAAACTAAGGGGACGACCATTAAATTCCGAAGGGGGGGAAAAGGGGGGGGGGGTCTTGCAAGGTCAGAATATTTATTTCTACATATATGATATACAACTTCAAACAAATAGAGCAGTCAAAATGAAGTCTAGTATATCTTCTCTTAATATGAAAATATAATAACATTACAATCAAGGGTGGATCCAGGGTCCATGGAAGATTACATCATATTGAACAAAATAATATTTGTTCAGGTCAAAAGGAGGGAGGATGTACACTGTAGAGCATCGGATACACCGCAGACCCAATGATGAAATAATGAACCATCGGCCTGAAAATGAGGTCAAAGTCAGATGACCCTGCCAGGCAGACATTTACACCTTGCAATCATTCCATACACCAAATCAGAGACGTATTATATGTCTCTGACCAAATGTAGCGTTGGCCTATTGATGGAAAGATATATATATAAAGGCGTGCCACAATTAAGGCTCTATATTAGGACCTGTTCTTTTTAATATTTGCTTGAATATTATTTTTCATTTTGTGTCAACTTGTAGCTCATTATAGATCATTATATAAATATATGTGCATGTGAAAATACTTTGGCATAATCACATTCTGATATAGACAATTCTTCTTACGTTGTGCTGTTACATCACTGTCCCGGGTTAGGGGAGGGTTGGGCGCCCGCAAACATGTTCAACCCTCCATATTCTGTATATATGCCTGTCATAATGCAGGAGCCTGTAATTCAGTGGTTGTAGTTTGTTGCTGTATACCATATTTGTTTTTCGTTTATTTATTTGTACATAAATTAGGCCGTTATTTATAGTTTTCTCGTTTGAATTGCTAAATACATTTGTCCTTTCGGGGTCTTTTA